ATATATATATATATATATATATATCTTATATACACATAATTTATATACACATATGCATGCTCACACACACATATGTATGTACAGATTAAGTGATAACCAATATGCGAGCTTGAAGGAAGAACTTAGAAAACGCAAGAAGAGACTTCAAGCAATTCCAAGACTCACTCTCAAAGCAGTTGGCGAGAACGCTACTCTCGATGTCGGAAACTTGGGAAAGAGGATACCAATATTTCTTAGCGATATACAACATCTGTTGTTATATTCACTACTTGGACATCATTCTCCTTACTTACCAGCGAGATGGTGCAAACTTGAGAAGTATAACAAAGTAATCTTGGCCAATGTAACATGAAATTTTCAAGCAATACTGTGCTTTAGAGATAAAGTTTAATTCAAAATATTTAATAATTCTAAGTGAATAATTTTCTCCAAAGATAAGCCATACTGTAGTCATCGTGCTTGAAGGGTTGTCTTCATATCATTTTATGGCTTATGAGAGCATGTTTCCACATATAGTACATAACTTAAAGCATCGTTTAGAGGTGATAACGCCAGCTGTCTATGGTGCATCCATAACAGAAGAGCTTGCAGCTGTTCCTTTAACAGGAACACAAAGTGATAAACTAATTAAACGTATGTTATATAATAGTAAAGTACATCTAACATATTTTCCATTAAAATGAATATTTAAATCTATTCCGTCTATATGAAATAAAATGTTTTAGTTGAATATTAGTGAGAACATATATTCATAAAATATGTAGCAATAAAATTCTATAACGTTAATTTCTAATATCGATAAAAATGTATATTTTAATGACAATGAAAGACAATTTTTCATTTCTAGGATATGGCTCCTTAGAAACTGCTTTGCAAACAAATGGAAATGTCATAAAACTGCTAAGAAGTGTTTTTCCAATGCATTCAATAAAAAACGATGTAAAGTTTTCTACAAAAAACTTGAATGAAAATTTACCACCAACTGATAAATTCTGTAGAACAAAGTTACTTTTATCGTTATGGCAAATGGTGGAAGAAAATTATCCTGTACCACTAAAAGGAACATTAGCAGAAAGGCAAGGTTTTACTGTTCTAATTTTTTTTTTTAAAGTTCGCTAAAATTTCGTTGAAAATAATTTTGTTTTCAGAAAAGTTGTAAAAATTAATTTAGGAACTACCCATATGCTTGTTGTGTAAAATATATAATTTTTTCATATTTATTTAAATTATGTCGAAGTTCTTACTAAATTTTCAGTGAATTTTTGGCAAAATTTTTCCAATAGAGACGGATGTTAATTATATTTTTGCAAATATAAAATTAACGAATTGATATAATTGTAGATACGGTTCGTATATATTAACAAAAGATGTTTATGAAGAGGCTACATCAACATCACCAATGTTTGGCTTAGACTGTGAAATGTGCTTAACAACAAGCAACATTCTTGAACTTACTAGAATAAGTATCGTAGATGAGGATATGAATGTAAGTACAGTATTATATGTTTGTACTTTAGACGATAAAAATATGTAAATCGGTCCAATTACAGGTAATTTACGACAGCTTAGTGAAACCTGAGAATGTAATAACGGACTATCTGACTCGGTACAGTGGTATTACTGAGAATATGTTAGATGATGTCACGATTACATTGCACGACGTTCAGCAAAAAATAAGAACGTTACTTCCTCCAAACGCGATTCTCGTAGGACAAAGTTTGAATTCTGATTTACATACATTAAAAATGATGCACCCCTATATCATTGATACTTCTGTAATATTTAATCTCACCGGGGATAGGTACTGTAAAATAACAAATATCGATATCAGTGAATGTAGGTGCATTTCATTTAATGTTCTCTTATGTAACACAGGTATAGGAAAACGAAATTGCAAATCTTGGCGCGCGAGTTTCTCGGAGAGAGTATTCAAGACGATAAAGCTGGACATTGCTCAACAGAAGACTCGAAGGCTTCTATGAAATTAGTGAAGTTAAAATTAGCGAACAGTGTGAATTACGGGGACGCTGTGTTGCTTGGTGATCGCAGCATGAGAATTTTGAAAATGGAGAGTAATAACGAGATATCAAAGCAAGAATTGCAAAAAACAGAAATAAAGAAATATGCCACGTCAATATTCAGTCATATAACGAAAAATAAAGGCACCACTGCCGCTATCGTAGGCAATGATGAAGTGATATCCGAATATTCTAAGTATTTAACGAACTCTTCTCTCAATGTCATGGACGATGAAAGTTTCGCAAAGGATGATCAAGTTAGTATGCATTTATCATATATTAAACGTTTAAACGAACGTTTGTATCTATTAAGAAACTAAAACAAATTAAAAAAACACAAGACGAAATTTTTTCATTAATTTAATATTGATTTTCGATAATTGTAGGTACGTCTTGTGATAGCAGATAACGATAAACATGCCGTAGACCGAACTTCAGAAATAGCGATGGAGCATGCTTTTGTATTGTGCCACGTGAAGCTTAAAGAAGAACAATTGAAAGATGAACAGCTAGAGGAAACGTTTCGCACTGTAAATAAATGGATTTACAAAGTTTGGCAATATAGCGCAATAAACAGTCTTGCATGTGTGATATTCAGTGGGCAAAATAATATTGCGAACGGTTCTTGTTTTTTAAATATTAAAACGGAGATATCGTCGGACATCATCATAAGAGCTTGAAAAATGCTGAAATTATTATATCATTTTGAGAACTATGCGTGAAAAAAAATTAATTTCGTTAATATTCGATACAATAGTATCAAAAGAACCTATCTGGCCATGTATCAGTTTAGATAAATAACACACACTTGTATAAATTTTTGTTAATAGAAATATATATTTTGTAATCTACTTATTTAGAATTATTTTTGCGAAACGTACTTATTTCTATGACGTATCTTGGAATTAAGTTTCTTACTTTGTAAATTTCAATAAATGGAATAGTTTATTACATACAGAAATACACAGTAAACGTGCAATGATAAATACAAAACTAAAAGATACAATTATTCCCCTGATGAATCCTGGTGTAAAATTGTTTTCGAGAAATGTGTCAAACTAGTAAATAATAAAAAAAATTCAAAATTATGAACACAATAACTTGTATAAGTTTTATTAACTTTTAAATTCAGAAATTGTTAAAGTGCACACATTCGGACAGTAAAATCTAAAAATAACATCTATTATAAAATCTATTATTTGGAATTACTCATTTTCTCGCAAAACATCAAATAGGACGATATTGGTTCTCTGTTATTTCTAGCAAGCATACGTTCTCTGAACGAAGTTGCAGCGGCAGCTCCTTTCAGTGACTGTTTTTTAGTCTTCTGCAAGTTTACTACACGGAATTGTGTAGTGCAACCAGAAGTATTTAATGTGTTATCACAATCAGTGGTCGTCACCTTTACTTTACCCGTCGTTGTTGACGATACAATTTTTTCCTTGTCTCGCAAAGTTTTCTGTCTTTTTTTCGATTTCGTTGGCACGTCCGCAAGATTTTCGATCACATCGTCCGGAAGTCGTTTCAGACTGCTTGAAGGCAGTAAACATTTTCTTTCTTTGATTTCTTTCTTTGATTTCGTAGGAATATTCATACAGATCGCATTTTCAATATCTTCACTTCGGTTGCGTTTCTTCTTGGACCTCGATTCTTCAGTATACAGCTTTGCATCAGTTTCATCTAGTTTCTTAGTGTTATAGGCTACATTTTTCGATTCACTCATACCTAATGTAGTTTTTTGTAATCGTAATTTACTAGACAAAATTTTCTCAGACTTTTTTGGAGCTGGAATTTGTATTGACAAAGTATCTTCCTCTTCCTTCTTCTTTTTCTTTTTCTTCTTTGTTTCAATATTTTCCACTGTCTCTTGCCGTTTAATTTTCTTTTTTACTTGCTGTTCTTGTTTATCTGTAAGTAAATCCAACTCTAAACTATTAACGACTTTATTTTTCTTCTTGTACTGTGGTAACTCTGTTTTATTCCCGCGAATATCTCGAAGCATATTGTCTTTGTTTACATTTGTATTCTCTTCAACTGTATTAATTTGTTTCTTTTTCTTCTTAATCTTATTGATTTGGCATGCCTCTTCGTGAGCATCCTCTACGATAGGTAATTGAGTAAATTTAGCACGTTTCTTCTTTTTAGGAATCTTTATTTCAATATCTGTAGATGAAGGTTTATCGATTACATTTTTTGATGTATCTTGTTTTTCCTTTTTCTTTTTTCTCTCATTAATTTGACATATATTTTCGCGAATATTGTCCTCTACAACGGGCAATTGGGTAAGTTTATATTTCTTCAATTTTGTTATATCTTGAGACCAAACTTCACGAGTGATAGATCTCATTAATTGTTTTAGCTTTCTCTCATCACTATGAGATAATGATACATCTTTAAGAGTATTGTCCTCTACTGTAGATAATTGAGTAAGCTTAACAGGCTTCTTCTTTTTAGAAACATTTAATTCTATAGCGTTTTTAGCTTTATCAGTGATATTTTCCTTTAATTTATCTTTTTTGTTCTTTTTCTTATTAGTCTCACATGTATCTTTGTGGATATCTTCTACATTAGTTAATGGAGTTAGCTTGATTTTCTTTTTAGGAACATTTAATTCTATAGCGTTTTTAGCTTGATCAGTGATATTTTCCTTTAATTTATCTTTTTTGTTCTTTTTCTTATTAGTCTCACATATATCTTTGTGGATATCTTCTACATTAGTTAATGGAGTTAGCTTGATTTTCTTTTTAGGAACATTTAATTCTGTTACGTCTTCAGACAAAACTTTATCACTCATATTTTTATTTGACGAGTCTTGTCTTTTACGTTTTTTCTGTTTCTTTTGACTACATTTTTGTATGACATCGTCATTAGACGGTATTATCAAATCATATATTTTGTCTTTATTTTTCTCTTTTATTCTTATTTGTGTAATATCCTTTTCTGCAGATAATTGTTCCTGTAATGAATTAGTTTCTGTACTATATTCTAATTTAGTTGGCGCACTTTCGTTTAATTTCTCTTTTCTAAGATATTTTAATCTTGGTGTTTCAATATCTATATTCATTGTTTTACGTGATGATGTCTTGAGTGATTTCAGAGGATTTGTTAACCCTCTTATCTTTTTCAATAAGTCAGGTAAAAGATCGTCTGATATCTTTTCTTTACTTGCATCTTCGAACTTCTTCGGACTGTCTTTATTTAATATAAGATCCTTTGATTCATCCTTGACTGAAATATTTTGTGTTGTTTTAATCGTATTGTTTGACTTATTAGCTTTATTTTCCGGAATTCTTTCAAATGTTTCATCAAGTTCTAATTTCTTACAGCTGTTAAGATCTGAGGTACTAAATTCCATTAACGCGTGTAATTCCGACAATTTTGCAAATGCTGATTTACATTTATTTAATTGTTCACTCAAGTTGCGTTCAGTTTCAGTTTGTGAATGTTGTGGAGTCAACATATTTTGAAGTGATGAAGAGGCTAAGTGACACATTTCGAACGAAGCAGTTTCATTTTCCTTCACAAAAGATTTTTTTTTCTTCTTCTTACTCGACAAGTTTGAATTTGATAAATCTTGTAAAATAGGTTTCTCATTTTTCTTCATATTAGATTTCATTTTTTTGTTTTGTTTTGTTTCTGTCTCACTTCTACAAGGTGAAATATGTTCGATAGATTTGTTATTATTTTTATGGGTTTTTGACAGTTTATGAGAGGTATTGGCGTATAAAGAAACATCTTCCATTTTGATGAATTTATTTTGATTTGTGTCTTTGTCTGCTATATCTTTTTTCTGTACATCTTCATTGTCTTCATTTTCACTTTCGAGATTTATTAATTTCGTGTTAAAATTCGCTTTCTCTTTTTCATCTTCCACTTTTTCTTTTTGTACAGCGTTATCATCATCTTCATTATCTTCTTTGTCATTTTCTGCTTCAATGTCATTATCTTCTTCAGCATTTTCTGCTCCAGTATCATTATCTTCTTCATCGTCATTTTCTGCTTCAATGTCATTATCTTCTTCATCGTCATTTTCTGCTTCAATGTCATTATCTTCTTCATCATTTTCTTCGTCGTCATTTTCTGCTTCAATGTCATTATCTTCTTCATCATTTTCTACTTCATTATCATCAACTATAAAATCTTCAAGATCTGAACCGTTATCATCAGAATCTGAAAATTCTACTTCTGAATCCCTACATTCATCAGCAGCTACATCATCATCAGAAAACTTACGTTCCAATCCATCCAGATTGTATTCTCTGTTGAGGCTATCAGAATAGCCATTACTATCGTCAGTACTACTACTTTCGCTGTTTGCTTTTCTAAATAGGTATTCACGGAATGGAACTTGATTCGATTCATCGCTATCCGATCCCATATTTGCTATCATAGAAGTTTTAGATGCAAGATCCATAGCTATTACGCTTACATCTATGTCGCTATCATCACTTTCGTTCAAATGCATTATTTTTCCAGTATCCATCGGCTCTGATTCCTGACCCGTAGAATGATTTAAGGATGTATTTTCATGCTTTTTGCAATTTTCAGTTGCTACATTCTTCTTTTCAGATTCGGTTGCATTATCATCTATATCTTCATTACACGATTGTTCTAAGGAACGTTTTTTCTTATATAATTTTTTCCTAGTACGTGCAGCTGTGTCAAGTTCTTTCTCTGAATTATCTGTTTGAGATTTATTTGGAGAAATATTTTGCATAGATACATCTTTCGAAGATTTGTTTAATGATGTTCTTTTTCCTGTCGATTTTCGTAAAGATATATTGTTCCTACTTGTTAGCGAACTTCTATTTAATTCATTGGAATCATCTTCAATTTCTTTCTCTAATTCATTACTTGCTTTGGAAGATCGTCTTTTTGTTTTTTCTGACTGTCCTGATTTATTTAATCTGGATATGGATCGGTCATTAGTTCGATTTAAAGCTGTTTTGGAATCATTTAAAGATTTATCAACAGGGATTAAATTCTCATCTTCTGTATATCTAGAAATATCTTCATCTATTTCGGATACAAGTCTCTTTTTAGTTCTTGATTTTCGTTTTTTTACTTGTTTTTCATTTTTTTCATTAGAATCAATATCCAATGTAAGTTCTTCATCTACGGTGGCTAATTGTTCAATATTATAATTCGCTTGTGACGCGAGCGAGTCTAATCGACTCTTTAATAATACGGTGTCATCGGAATCGTATTCAAAAGCTTCTGCTTCTTTTACCGCTTTTATGGTTTCAGCCGCCAACCATGCTTGTTTGTCCACTAAGATAAGATCGTGTTCAGATTCATTTTCTTTTTCCTCCTCTTCCACTAGTTGGGAGGTAGACTGTACTGAACCAGTTTTAACATCGTTTTTCTCCTTCCATTTGTCAGCGGGGATATCTTGGAATAAACTAATGCCGTCATTGACATCAGAAACATCATCAACGACATTTATATTTTCTTGATCTTTTTGAGTCCTTTCCATTTGTAAACTTTGCTTTTCTCCTTCTAAATTATCTGTACTTTTCCGTTTTAAATTTGGCTTCACTTTTTCTGACAAAACATCTTTTGAATCTGTTTTCTCAAATGATATATCCATTGCCGATTTTTTAGATGCTTCTATTACATCAGTAAATTGGTTATCTTGAATTATTGTATCATTCGAGTCATTACTTGTGGAATTATTTGTCTCCAGGACAACATTAGAAGATAGGGACGTCGTTTCCTCTGTTTCTTCTTTCAATAAATTTTCCTCTTCTGTAGAATCAGAACTATCAGTTACTATTATCTTAACTTGAGTTAAAACTTTATCTGTTACAGTAGCTGAGTTATTAGATGTTTTATTAATTGGTGACGATATTTGTAAATCTACTGATTGATCAGGCTTAGAGTGTGCTACGTTTAATGAAACTTCGTTATCATTACAATGTGGATTTTGTTCTTCTAACGCTAATTTTATTTCGTTTTCATCCATAGAAGCGAGACTTTCTCTACTATCACTTGTCTGCTTTGACTTATCTAGATTTATAGATAAACGCGATGTTTTATCTACTTCATCTGACTCACTTTTGTTAAAATTTTTGTTATCTGTAGTAGTACATTCTTTTGTATCAGTTTTCCCTAATTCGCTAATTATTTCCGTTGCATCCTCTTTATAAGCAGATATATTTTCAGTAGATATTTCATCTTTGTTAGCAACTTTATCAACTACTTCTGTACTTTCATGTAACAAAATAATTTTATCTGAAGCACTTGAATTTATAGATTTTATAGAAATATCCATTTTTTCTTGAGAATTATCAATAGTTTCTTTTGACAGATCACTATATTTAATTGCAACTTCTGTCGATTCTCTTGAGCGAATCCTCTTATTTAAATTTACATCCTTTTTTATAGTTTCCTTCTCAGTTAATAATTTATCCATAAAAGGTGAAGTAAAAGGTTTGATAGAAGATGCCGACTTAGGCTGCACAAGCTTTTCTGCTACATCACTAATAACATTCAGCATTTGATTTTCCTTGTTACTTTTTTCCTCCTCAATAGAAGTACCTGATAAGTTTTCGGGCATAACCTCCATTTCTTTATTTGATCCACATATGTCGAGTAATGAATTTTCTATATCTGAAAGATTTTCAATTTTTGTGTCTTTTTTTGTGGAATTTTGATGATTTGGAGAAGAGTAGGTAGAGAATTCTTCGATTGTACTCTTGTCGGATGATGGAGTTTCTTCAAACTTCTTTTGCTCTTTATCTACAAACACAAACATATATAAATTATCATTTATCTTACACCATTTGAGCTAAGTTGTTCCACCTTTCAATAAACGTCAACTCTCTTACTCTTATGCTTTTACTGCTTTGTTTATCCAATAAATAAATTATCAGTTTATCCGAAGATAGAACAACTGGCCCTTAAAGGGGTATTCACTTGTTCATATTTAAAAAAAAATGGATTTTTTTCTCATATTTCATTTTTTAATATTTGTAGAATATTTTCTGGAAAAAATTTTGAAATATTTCTAATATTAGCTTAAGTTACAATGGTTTGGAGCCAATTGTAAGTAAAAAGGTGACTTAATATTACAGTATAATAGAATCTTTTTAACAATTCCCTTTCAAATAAGCGATTTTTTGGAAACAATATTATAATAAAAAGAAGACTCCTAAAGTTTGTTTTATAAATAGTGACATAATAGTTATAGTGATATAAAATTTAAAACATTTTCGTATATAGGATTTAAAATTATTTTGGAATTATATATAACAATAAATAATAGAAATAATTATTTTAAGAAATAACTATAAAGTATGTTAATTTGTATTCATTTTTGTCCTCTTGATAATAAAGATAAATAAGTCTTAAAATAGGATTAGAATGTCATTTACTTATATGCAAAAAAGATTAGAATAGATCATTTGGAAAAACATGCCTTTAATATGATGAAAATGGTAAGAATAATTCAAAATTTAAAAGAAACGGGAATAAAAGAAAGAATTGTTATTGGCCTAGGAATTAAAGATAATAAATAAATAGCATAAATTTAACCTACGATAAATTTTTGTGGAAATTATACCTTAAATTTTTCTCTATTTTTTATAACAATTTAAGTTAAAAAATGTAGTCAAAAAATTGAAACGTTTGTTCAATTAGTCACCGTTTTTATTAATATAAATTTATTTTAATAGGGAATTTTAATAGAGGCCATTGAAACATAATTCTTGATTATAAAATTCTCAGATTTCTTACATCAGACGACTTGAGCTGACGATAATCATAACTATCCCAGTTGCAATATCGAATTCCGCCTTTGTGAGTTTTTAATTTTTTTGGTACTAGTTAATAAGATATCTAAGTTTACAAGATGATAAAAGTATAATAAAAAACAAACAAAAAACCTCAAAGCAAATGTCTTTTAAGAAAAAAAAAAAAAAAATTATTTACTCTGTTCTTTTGAGTCTTAGATAAATCTCACTTAAAATATTATAAATTTATATAGTTACAATAAAAAGTAATGAATCTATCATTCATCAAACAATTTCAAATACAATTAATGCAATGTATTTCTTAAAAAGTAAATATGTAATGTTAATTCAAATTCTGAGATTTAAGACAGTTTTTAATTTTTTACCGAGAGTATTCTCTGTGTCCTTCGCTGTTTCTCTAGTAATATCCTCAGTTTGTGTTGCATCTTTTTTTTCTGACAATTGAAGTGTTTCATCAGATTTTGACGAATCAGTTGAAGTCTTTACATTTTCTAAAAAAAAAAAAAAAAAAAAAAAATTATTTTGGTTATCTTACTACAACTCTTACTACTACTCTTTTACTCACCATACTCACTATCATCTTCTTCAACTTTATCTTTAACTACATTTTGAAGTTTTCTTTTAATTTGATGTAAATGTTTATCTGGCGAAGAATCTGAATTTCCTGAATGTATTTAATAAATTTGTTATAAAAATTATAGAAAAACATCTATATTAATTATAATAATATATATCGAGTATTAGAGTTACTTGCTAATATATTTTTAAGAAATTACCGGAATTTGTAATTTCATCAGTTTCAACTATTGTAGAATCCAATCGTACATAAGGTATATGATCATTGGGTTCAGTTTGTTCTTTAATCTGAGAACTCGATGGCAACACAGATGCTCGCCTACGTGTCTTGGTTGGTGAACTAGATTGGTTCTTATTTTCAGTCAAAGATTCTGGATCGATAGACCTTGCTCTTGTTCTACGTGTGGTTCTAGTTGCTGGCAATGGTGATTTTGTCTCGGAACCAGCACGCATAAAGCGCTTACTGATAATTGTACGTAACATTGGTTACAAACGTATCATGTACTATTAAATATAAATATTGACAAATTAGCAGTACCTGGTTGCTCGAGTATTAACTCTGGTTGGTGTATTAATAAGACTTGTAGCTCCTAAACTTTGTCTTGTAGTTCGTTTTACAGGTGTTCGTGGGATATCAATGTCAATCTCACTAATTTCTGAAGAAATGGAATGCTTTCTAGTACGTAACTTCTTTGTTGTATCTGAGGCAGTGGAATCCATAGTTGTTGTTCGTGGTCTAGCACTCCGAGTTGTTTGAATACTGCTGATACTACTATCACTTTCAGAACCTGGCGAATATTTATTCTGTTTTATTCTGCTGCTTCGGCGTAACGGAGAATTCGCCGATTGTATAGTAAGCATTCGAGTCTGCATACGACCAACAGCTACAACACAAGAAATATCAAAAAACTAATAAAACTTGAAGACATTTAACTGCGTTTGGGAAGCGCGCTATTGTACCATTTTATCAGTAAATGTAAAATAAAGATAAAATAACAAGCACTATACTAATAGTATGTTCTCTAAACACAACCAAAGTTTGAGTATTTAAAATTAAAGATATAAAACAAAGATAATAATGTGCATTCTTAAATTTTAGCATTTTTTATATTAACATATTTACATAATTAGAAAAGTAATGTATTTTGATTTTTCATCGTACAATAAACATATTTATTTATATATTTATATAGATAATCAAAATAAACATTACATTTTTTTATTTTATTGTTTTTACAAACTTAAACACACACACACACACATACACACATATATGTGTATATACATACATACATATATATATATAATTGCTAAAACCAAACGTAATCATATAAAAACTGAAAAAAATTTTTTTCACTAGATTATTGCATCCCAGAATGTGACATATGAATTTATAGAATTTAGAAAGGTTCTTCTCACAATTCATTTAAATTAATAAACCTAAAAACGGTCACAGATTGAAAGTTAATAGAAAAAAAAAAACCGGTTGCGGATGTTCTCGGATTCTCTTCAGCGAAAATATTTTAGCAAGAATGGCAATAATTTCGAAAAACACGTTGAGATCAAAAGGAGAAAAAAAAACAAAGGTAAAGTTACGATACATTTGCGTTACAGCACAATCAATGACAACGAAAAATCGCACAACCCTTGGCATCGAGCCGATTAATCGGCGCTCTGTCTCGTGCACATGCTGATAAAAAGAAATCAAGTAATACGTACATGGTTTTGGCTCAAAATCATCGTCTGAATCTTTCACGGAGCGTGACATCTTCTTTAATCATATATCGGACAAAAGACTAATGCCTTATGAAAAAAACAATTCTGAACAGAAAGGAAAGGTTATCGAAACCACGTGTTACTGCTTCCAATACGAATTTGAACTTCACAAGCCATTGGCAATATTGTCCGAATAGCAACGGATAATGACGACCATAGATATAATATAAAAAGATGTACAATCAGTAGCGGAATTCAGACGCTTTTCCATGACAGTCGAAATTTCGAAAAAGTAATACGACCAATCAGATTAACGACTGCCATGGGACAGCACTTTGGGTGTATTCATAACGAGAACAGTTGCAGGATTAGAGAATCCCGCAACAGTTTACTGAACATTCAATGAACTCTTTCATCTGATTGGCTTATTCCGTTAGATCCTAAAATATAGACCAATCAAATGAAAGAGCTCACTAAACGCTCAGTGA